AACCCTTAAAACCCCAAAGCCCTAAACCCTGAACCCTAAACCCTAAACCCTGAACCCCATAGCTCCCTAAACCCCAAACCCTAAACCCTGAACCCTAGCTCTTCTGAGGCTCCTCGGAGCCAAAACCCTTTGCCAGGGCTACGCCGGGCCAAGCCTCCGAGACGAATTGCGCGTGCGCGACGAGTTAGGCACCAGGGGCCCTACTTTGGGGGTTTAGGGTTTAGGGTTTGGGGTTCAGGGTTTAGGGGTGTAAGGGGTTTAGGGTTTAGGGTGAATGGGCCTATTTTTTGTTGGGGGGGGTTCCGTATTCTAGAGCCCTTAAAGGCGCCCCTTCTACTTTAGTGTAGGGGCCTGAATAATTAGAACAGGGTTTTGGGGGAGGTTTTAGGGTTTAGGGGTGTAGGGCTCCATGTGGCGGCACGTTTAATAGCCCCCGCCTGACCTGATAAATATGTTACCCGTGACCCCCTCCACCTTATTGGGGGCTTGGGTTGGCTTGGGGTCTGGGTGTCTGTGACTGCTTTAGAAGGGAACATGCGGGCTGAAACTAGGGATATGTGTGCCCATTCTCTGTAGCAGCTAATGTAATCCTACAAATGGGGGTTTCCGAAAATAGGGGACCCTAATATAGTACCCTAAATACTAGGATCCCTATTAAAAGGACCCCCAAATAAGGTACCCCAATTTGCGGAAACCCCCAAATCAGTGTGGGGGGCTTGGGGTCCCCTCGTAGTCAGGTTTTCGGTTTTGGCATCTAACATGCACGGGCTCGGGCGGCTTGGGCGTACAAGGAGCAGGTCTAGCCTTTAAGAAAGGGTTGATGCAATGTAGGGGCCTAAATACATTTAAATACCAACACTATCTTTTGGGGGTTCTTTTTTTTTTGGAATTATATATAGTATAATGGACATCCGAAAACCCTTTAGTAATTATTAAAGCCCCGATATTAGTGTTCAGGCTTCAGGGTTTAGGGTTTAGGTTGAGGGTGTAGCTGAGGATTGGGGGTTCGAAACGTAGAGTTCTTGTACATGGTATCCCTAAACCCTAAACCCTAAACCCTAAACCCGTATGCAGCTGCGGCAGGACACTCCCTGGGGACCAAATGACCCTTACAAGTAATGGGCCTCGTACCCCTGTACTTTGAATCCCTAAACCTGGAACCTTTTAGGGATCATTCGTCTTTAAGGCTGTAGTCAACAAGATCCTTTAAAGAAGCTCATCCCTGAACCATCACCTTGAGTGCGACAAACCTAGCCCCCGAACTGTAGGTTTACCACCTAGTACCTAAACCCTAAGCGCCATGACGTTTCGTGACGGGCGTGCTCAGATTGGGAAAGGGGGCGCTTAAAGCAAGAATCAAGACTATAACCCCTAAACCCCAGACCCCCAAACCCCAAAAACCCAAAACCTAAAACCTAAACCCTAAACCCCAAATCCCCAAAGCCCCGAAACCTAAACCCTAAACCCCAATACCCAAAACCCCAAAACCTAAAACCTAAACCCCAAACCCTAAACGCCTTAAACCCAAGCCAAGGCCCCCGCCCAAAAAAAGGAACCCCACAAGCACAGGTTTAGGGTTTAGGGTTTGGGGTTTGGACCCTAAGCCCTAAACCCTAAACCCTAAACCCTTTGGGGTTTAGGGGGAACCGAGAGCCGCCAGGAAAGCTCTTCTCCACCTCGAAGTGAGCAGCGACCGAATCCGCAGAGAGCTCGGAGGTACGTTTCAGGGTTTAGGGTTGAGGTTTTAGGGTTTAGGGTTTTGGGTTGAGGGTTCAGGGTTTAGGGTTGAGGGTTGAGGGTGTAGGGTTTTAGGGTTTCAGCAGATAACAAGAAGAATAAACATAGCAATGGTAATAATAACGATAGAAGCAGTAATCGTAATAATACAAAAATTAGCAATCATACTGATTATAGTAATAAAGACAATATTTCGTAATAATGAGAAAAAATAGTAATAGCAATAATCATCTTCATATTGCGCCCCACCTCAACCCGCCCAGATGTAAGGAATCCGCGGAGAGCTCGGATATAGATTTCAGGGTGTAGGGTTGAAGGTAGTGAAGGCGATGTTCCTCAATTAAGAGATATTGGGCTCTCTGAATCACTTCAGCCTTTCTCCAAAGCTTCTCCAGACGCCACTGAATCCTAAACCCGAACGCTTACAGGAATCCAACCAGGATAAGGCCCTGCAGCCCAACACCCGAAAACCCCCAACGCCCTGTCTCTCCAGCGCCGAAGCTTTGGAGAAATTGGATATTGGCCCTTTGACCGCGGGAAGGAGGACGATGCCTCTTCTTCGCCGCAGTGTAGTCTTAAATCACTCTGTTTTGGGAGGGCTCCTGAATCCTACATCCCAAAGGCAACCGTCACACTCCCCAAACCTCAACGACTCTGAGACAATGTGGTAGGTTCATGTGAACCCTGTGGCCTAAGACGAGGTCCGACATTCCATTTGTACCCATGTTTCAAGAACATCCCGGTACCAACAAGGATTAATTATTGTAGGTCTCCTGAATTGCCAGCCCGAGAACGTGCTTCTCGTTAGTCTGGTGTCTACATCATCGGTATGGGTTCAGGCGATGTTGTTCACAAGTGACAGTTGAGAAATGGCCCTTGGGGGGCCAAGTAGTCCTCATCTACGGCTTGCGATCTCTACAACCCAACATTACAAGTGCTTGAACTCTAAATCCTAAAACCCTAATAGGGAGACAGGCCCTGGCTCTAGTCTAGACTCTCCAGCCCTGAACCCTCAAATCGTGAAGCTTTGAATCCCGTGAATGTCCAGGCCTAAATCCTGATACATGAACCTTTGGCCCTGAATCCGACATGATACTGCTGATGATCCAGACCCTGCAGTACCTTGAGGACCCTAAGCCATGGGAGTTGTGGCATATTCCCTATTATGGGTAATGCAGGATTTATATCATCAACCGTAACACAGTCTTTGGCTTGTGAGATGGAGGAGTGATAGGGCATGGGTCCCTCCCGAAATCAATCGGCAGACAACTGTGAACGGCAAAAGACTTCGGGTATTTAGTTGCGAAAGCCAATATCCGGGGCTTATAGGAATTTGAAAGATATGTTCATTCAAGAATGTTATTTATGTAGTGTTCCCAAGCCCGGCATTCACGCACAGTGAGCTTTTCAGATTACAAAGTTGCTCTGGCTTTGTACTGTAGCCTCTTGTCTAGTTGGGCTGCAGGACAATTCTTACTGATCACCCTAACCCTAAGGCTGATCATCGCCCAGACGCCCTTTTAAGTATGGTCTTTGGGCCCAAAAGTCTTAGAATACGAGTCCTCAGAGCCTTATGACCCTAAACACTTGGGCGTGGATAAGACGCTTCCGGCTTTGTTCGTTCATGCTCGTGTTGCTTTGTTTATCTATGGTTTCTCTCAGCTTCAAAACGGAGTGGGGTCAGGTTGTCTGCGCTGTTGCGAGGTTTTTGTGTGGGCATGGGCAGTAACAACAACTGCGATACAGCGAGCACAAGTACATAGTACATGGCACCTGGTGTCATGATCATTCTTCTTGTGAGTGTTACTGGGTCTAGGCACTTTGAGCTGCCGTAAAGGTTAGTTCTCTTGAGTGTATGGTTGAGTTGCGTTCTAGAAGCTAAACCGTTCACGCCTTGAATTTGCTGGAACTGGTGCAGCATCTGAGCCAAAGGCTACAGCTTTGCACCTGCTCTATCGGCATGAACGACTCTTATTGGGGGGAAGGGCTTGACAGCAACGGGACTAATTATGTCTGATGTCTCTATCCTAATTATTAATTGTTACTTGTATTTGTTGGGCCGTAGAAACCCCCCTAAACCCTAAACCCTAAATCCTAAACCCCCCCTCCATTGGCACAGACAAGTTTGTCGGTGCTTTTCACCTGCCAGATCCTGCGGCAGAACTGCCCTTACACGGGTCGGGGTGGACTCGCCTGGCATTAAAGAAAAGGTTCAGGGCCTAGTTTAGGCCTAGATTAGGGTTGGAGTGTAAGAAACGAGTCCTAAGTAGCATCACTGTCCTCTTGCAGATAGAGTCTATAGGACTCGCCTGGCATTAAAGAAAAGGTTCGGGGCCTAGTTTAGGCCTAGATTAGGGCTGGAGTGTAAGAAACGAGTCTTAAGTAGCATCACTGTCCGCTTGCAGAATGAGTCTACAGTCTCTATAACAGTGAATTGAACCTTACGCCCTTTTGGGGTGCATTTCGTCCTGAAGGTTAGGGTCATTCTTGACAATCACAGGGTTCGACAACAGTTGGTGGGACTTCGTGATACGGCGCAAGGTTACGGTTTAGATATACTCAATCTGGGCAAACCCGATACTTTATCTGTAGCGACAGCCGCTGCAAACTCAAAAGTAGACTTTCTGGGTTGCAGGCAGACCTACATGCTAACCCTAAGTCCTACACCACATCCGACGCCCTCAGCCCTAACCTTATGAAACCCCAAAAACCAAACTCGCGTCAAGAGGCTCGGAATATCCTCTTTTCGTCCCTTTCCCTAAACCTTAAACCCTCTCTTCGCCCCATTAAGGAACTATTGTGAAGTGCTGTTTTATAGCATACCTCCGCGACCCCCGGCGTTCGCTGTTGAATCTCGCGGCACTCAGCTGCAAGCCCTCAGCCTGTCCCTGGCAGATCTTTACTCAGGGTCGCGTTTGCATGGAGCTGTATTTCGGGCTCAGTTTGTGGTGTTAGCAAGGCTTTATGATGCTCTATCTATCTATCTATCTATCTATCTATCCAGCTATCTATCTAACTATCCATCGATCTGTCTATTTGTCGATCTGTCTGTCTAGCTATAGGTGTACATAGCTAGGAAGATATACAAGTAGGTGCGTGTGTGTATAATATATTTATATATATACACATACATATGCATGCATGTATATATATATATATATATACATACACGTCTGTGCACAAATCAAGTTATTTCTCATCTTTCACCCTATCGTCGGCTCAGGGGGCACCCTCCGAGGCGTCTCCAAGTAAAGCCACACAGGAAAACCTAAAAACACAAAAGCTAGAAGTTTAGGGGTTAGGGTTTAGGAAAGGGCCTAGTAATTAGGAATTAGGTATTTGGGTGTAGGATAGTAGTTTTGTAGTTTAGGATTTGGGAGAGTGTATGATGATTAGGTAAGCGGACCCTTCGTGTAAGAGCACCAATACTGCTACTAAGAATAATCTTATG